TGAGTCATTCCCAGATGTACCTTCAGTCCTGACAGATCAGAGTAATTCCAGTAACTGATGATTGCCATTGCTGAGGTCCTCCAGAACCTCAGAAAGGAATACATTTTATTTTTAAAAATATATATTTTATTGATTTTTTTTTCTTTTTACAGAGAGGAAGAGAGAGGGATAAAGAGTTAGAAACATCAATCAGCTGCCTCTTGCACACACACCTCCCCCCCCACTGGGGATGTGTTCGCAACCAAGATACATGCCCTTGATCGGAATTGAATCTGGGACCTTTTACTCCGTAGGCTGATGCTCTATCCACTGAGCCAAACCAGTTTTGGCAGGAATACATTTTACATCATACCTTGGTATGCAGTTACATCTACATGAAACAAGGCTTCGTGAATCTATACTTCGATGCACTCTAATATTTCCTGTTTCATTTCTGAAAATTGTCGGTTTTGATCCATCAGTGGGTTAAGAACCGACAGTTGAAAAATGCTGCTGTTTGACACACATCATTTAGTATTAACAATGCACACTGTCATAAAATCATTAGCGTTTTCACATGTTCCTTGGAACTTCAAAGCTCAGTAGAGTCAAGTTTCATGACAGGTGCCTCTGTAGTTTCTTAGTTGTGTGGCCTCAGAAGAGATGTTTAGCTTTTCAGCCTCAGTTGTGTCCCCTGTACAATGGAGCTCGTAAGGGCCACACGCCCTTCATCGGCTTCTTGAAAAGGATGAAACTCGATGGTGTCTGTGAAGTGCTTATGAGCCCCGTGGCCAAATGAAAGCTCTCAATAAGTGGTACATATTTTTATTATCCAGGAATTCCTGAACCTCTGTGTTTGGGCCTCAAAGGAATCAGCATGGGCTTCAACAAGTATGTTGTTCCCTCGTACCTTCTTTAGTTCTTCTTTTTAAAAAATATATTTTTATTGATTTTTAACAGAGGAAGAGAGAGGGATAGAGAGTTAAAAACATCAATGAGAGAGAAACATCGGTCAGCTGCCTCCTCCGCGCCCCCCCCCCCCCCACTGGGGATGTGCCCACAACCAATGTACATGCCCTTGACCAAAATCGAACCTGGGACCCTTCAGTCCACAGGTCTATGCTCTAGCCATGAGCCAAACCGGTTTTGGCCCTTCTTTAGTTTTTTTTACTTGTTTTTGTTTGTTTGTTTTTATGGAAGTGACCTTTGGGAAGGCCCAATCGTTGGCACTAGCGCTCACTAAAAAGCACTCGTTTTTCCAACAGTTGTCGGTGGTGGCATTGGCAAGAGCGCTCCTCGGAAGCATGGGGAATCTTGGCAGGGTTAGCGGTGTTTGCTGTTGGCGTCTGCCTTGGCATCATCGTAGGCGAGAGAGGGATGCCTGGGGTTTCTCTTTGATTCCTCTCCTTCGCACGGAATTCTGGCGAAACTGCATCTGACTGGGAGGTGGGCAGGAGGAGCCCAGAGGGCCTCATTATGGAGGAGTTCACCACTTTGAAATCCCCTCTCCTGAGGAATTCTTCTGCACCATTTGGATTCCCCCCCCCCCTTTTTTTTTTCATCTGAACAACGTTGGCTGCTGGTAGAAATAATTAAACAGAAAATGTTCTGATATTTCTGGCACAATTAACATTATTTTTACTCTTCTTTTTTTTTAAAAAAATATTTTATTGATTTTTTTTTGCAAAGAGGAAGAGAGAGAGACAGAGAGTTAGAAACATTGATGAGAGAGAATCAGCTGCCTCTTGCACACCCCCTCCTGGGGATGTGCCCACAACCAAGGTACATGCCCTTGACTGGAATCGAACCTGGGACCTTTCATTCCGCAGGCCAACGCTCTATCCACTGAGCCAAACCAGTTTCGGCTACTCTTCTTAATTTAATAGAATCCTAGATGTTATTGCTGGGAGAGCCCTTAGGAGGTCAATGCAACTCTGCCACTGGATAGGTGGGGTCCTCTTTCCGAGCGGGAGCCAGCGCCTCTGCCCGGGGGAGCTGGAGACCTGGAGACCTGTTAGCCATAGGCAAGCCAAGAAGAACGTTCCTACATCTGTCTGCGGACCTGATTGCAGGCATCCCTTCCTTACCCAGGAGCACAGCCCACCGAGCGTTCTCCGAGGCTTCCCACCACAAAGCTGTATCTGCTGCTCACGTACCATGTTCGATCCGAGGCAGGCTCTTCTCCATGCAGGCACTCAGGGGCATGGGCCGCATCTTGTCACCCTTTAGGACACACACCTCCCAGTTGCTAGGGTGGGGGATCCATGCTTACTCCTCTGAGCTTCTGCCCAGAGGTGATAGAGTCGTTTTGCTCAGGGCTCACCTGTCAGAACTGGTCATAGAACCTTCTTGATCGCTAAGGGGCTTGTACTCTGGGGGTCAGGGGGCACCTATGGAGTATTTGATGACCGTTTCCTGGGAGAGGGATAATATGGTACTATATGTGTTAAAACTGTAGATGGGGGAGAGGGGGAATGTAGCTTCTTATTCTCCACCTCTATTAAGTTTGACCACTCTCCCAGTTTTCTAAGCCTCCAGGTTCACAGAGGCCGTCAGGGCACAGCTTTTCCTGATTGTCTGGTGGGGACAGGGGAGCGGCTGCCAACCGCAGGGGGAAGGGGTCCGGGAGCAGAGCGGCAGAGAGGAGGAATCATGGGGGCAGCTGTGCCTTCATCCGCTGACATCGTGTGTTTACTTTGTGTGGTTGGTTGAAACATGCCCCTCCTCGGCCCCCCAAGATAGCTGGTCCTAATCCCTGGAACGAGTGGATGTTACTGTACATTCTGTACACGGCAGAAGGGCTTGTGCAGATGGGATTACATTAAGGATCTTGAGATGGTGGGATTATGCTGGGTTATTGGTCTGGAAATGCTGTCACAACTTCAGAAGAGGGAGGGACATGTGACACAGTGACAGAGAGGAGGAGGCAGTGGAACCGCCGAGGCAGAGACTGAAATGCTATGGCTGTAAAGCAAGGAATGCCGACAGCCAGTAGAAGCTGGAAGAGGCAAGGAGTGGACTCTCTCCGAGAGGGCGTGTGGCCCTCTCCCCGAACACCTGATTTTGGCCTCGTGGTATTGATTTTGCACGTCTGGCCTCTAGTACAAGGGGGAAGTAATTTTCTGTTGTTTTATGCCACCAAGTTTATGGTAATTTAAAAAAAAATTTTTTTTATTGATTTCAGAGAGGAAAGGAGAGGGAGAGATAGAAACGTTAATGAGAATCATTGATCAGCTGCCTCCTGCACGCCACACACCAGGACTCAATCCTGGGAACCGAACCGTGACCTCCTGATTCATAGATCAATGCTTATTCACTGAGCCACGCTTGCTGAGCTGTGGTAATTTTTTATAGCCTCCACAGGAGGCATGTACTTGGGTTTCCAGTTTCTTTTTAAAAAATATATATATTTTGATTTTTTACAGAGAGTAAGGGAGAGGGAGAGAGAGATAAAAATATCAATGAGAGTGGAACATCAATCAGTTGCTTTCTGCATACCCCCAACTAGGGATGTGCCTGCAACCAAGGTACATGCCCTTGACCGGAATCGAACCTGGGACCTTTGAGTCCTCTGGCCAAACCAGTTAGGACGGGTTCCCAGCTTCTGGGTAATCAGTGGCTATTTGCTGTTATAACCAGTGCCTGGAGGACTTGGTGGCTGGAGTGAAGACTGGGGAACAATGGTTGGGGAATGGGGTGGGAGTGAGAATTTTCTTTATATCCCCCATTTTTTACCTTTCAAATTTGAACTAGGTGAATGTGCTACCTATTCAAAGAATAAATAAAAGTAATCTTTACAGCCCTGTGAATCCTACAGTAGGGGAATATGATTAATTTTGTGTGTCTGTTCCCCTGAGTAACACCCAGTACAGCTTGTGCTCTGTGACCTGCATTTTGAGGAATTCTTCCCAAAATGTTGCCCCACGGACCTTACCCTCTTGCCTACTCCAGTGTCTTCTTTCCATTGTACTTCCGATGTTTGGGTCTAGGTCAGTGGTGGTAAAAGAGTTATGCGAAGAAAAATGAATGATGGTATAATAATGATAACTTATCATTGGAATCTAAAAAATGCAATTTAATTAAAAATGACCTCTGAATTACCTGTCCTTGTGGATCTAGGCTTCCTGACTGGTGTGCTGAGATTTCCTTTTCTCAGCCTTGGAGACTGGGGTCAGGGGCGAGAGTGGCCAGAGTCCCCCAGGCTGGTGGCTTCCGCTTCCAGAATAGAACCCCTCGAGGCCGACACGTTGTGTAAATACTATTATCTTCGGTGCAGTGTGTGCAGTGATGTGGAAAGGTTGGGAAATACTGCTCTGGCTAAAATGCGGCCTTGTATTTTTAAAATGTCTGTTGCATAAAATAGCCATAAACAAACAAACCAGCCAGTTGGGTCTTTGGGAAAACTCCAGCGATGGTTTGGCTCCAGTGCAGGAGTCCTCAGCCCTTTCCCTCAGTGACACTCAGGATGGATGGAGGCTCTGTGCTGGGGAGGCGGCTGGCACTCCTTCCCTGCAAAGCCCCCGGAGCAGACTCAGCTTGAATATCTCCCACACGAAGCCAGAAAAGGAGGCAGAGTCACATTTTAGGAGATGATCTTGGCGTTCCCGTTAATGTAGCGAGAAATACACGATTGAAAACGTGGGCATGCCTGCCCTGAGGGAGCAGAGTCCTCTGACCTCGCTCATAACCGACGTCCCGTTTCGCATTGTGGCTCGCCGAGTCCAAGCTCACTTTCAATTCGCCAAGTAGGAGATGTTAAGTATTAGTGACAAGCGAAAAAAAACAGTGCAATGCAGTGTGTAAACAAGAGCTTCATCAGGTTCAGTTGTCACTTGCACGGTAATATTTGTTGTTCTGTTACGTCCTGGTGGGTCTGATGGTGTCGGTGACGCCGTCCTTCATGTCTTCTGGAATAAGTTAAGTGAATTAGCATGTCAGTGTAGTACTATCTGAAGAACTCAAAAGAGCTATTACAACGCTTAAAAATAAAGTGATCAATTCTCCTTTTGTTCTCTTGACAGGATAATTGAAGCCATCTGCATAGGGTGGTTCACTGCAGAGTGCATCGTGAGGTTCATCATTTCCAAAAACAAGTGTGAGTTTGTCAAGAGACCCCTGAACATCATTGACTTGCTGGCCATCACTCCGTATTACATCTCCGTGCTGATGACAGTGTTTACGGGCGAGAACTCTCAGCTCCAGAGGGCCGGAGTCACCTTGAGGGTGCTTAGAATGATGAGGATTTTTTGGGTGATTAAGCTTGCCCGTCACTTCATTGGTCTTCAGACACTCGGTTTGACTCTCAAACGGTGTTACCGAGAGATGGTTATGCTACTTGTCTTCATTTGCGTTGCCATGGCAATCTTCAGCGCACTTTCTCAGCTTCTTGAACATGGGTTGGACCTGGAAGCATCCAACAAGGACTTCGCCAGCATCCCTGCTGCCTGCTGGTGGGTGATTATCTCTATGACTACAGTTGGCTATGGAGATATGTATCCTATCACAATGCCTGGAAGAATCCTTGGAGGAGTTTGTGTTGTCAGCGGGATTGTTCTGTTGGCATTGCCTATCACTTTCATCTACCATAGCTTTGTGCAGTGTTATCATGAGCTCAAATTTAGATCAGCTAGATATAGTAGGAGCCTCTCCACCGAGTTCCTAAATTAATGCATTGCACACCGAGTCTTGCATACCCCTCGTTTGTTAGGAAGACTTAATGCTGCTTCGTATTCGTGTGTTCCTTGCTCGGTGAGCACACTGCAGTGGGGTACTGTCATCATCTTGGTAGGGTAAACATGATCCTTCCCAGCTGAAGGGTTAAAGCAATTTACTTATTATGGAGTAAACAAGATTGAGACTGCAGAGGAAAAAGGAATGATTTCTAGACTTGATTTTAATATCTGATTTTATTGAGACTTGTTTCCTCCTCCTTGCCTTGAACAATAACACACTTTTTTTTTGTTTTGTTTTGAAGTGTATTATTTGAACACTTTAAAATGAAAAGCTACTATTTTCCAAATGTTTTTCTATCTTATGAATTTGGACGAGTCTTGGGAGTTATGGTGTTTTTTTGTTGGAGAGTAACATTTTCGTTTCTAAATGTTGTATAATCTCTCATATCAATGTCAGAAGTATCCTGGAAACATATGTCACATGCAAGAACTGTTTAACAAATACTTTTTAAAAAATTGGCTGGATTTAAACTGTACAACGGAGCTAGATAAAAGCAAGAATAGTATTTGGAAAACTTTTTCCAGCATTTCTCAATTCTCGGATTTATTTTTGTTCCTAGTATTCACTTTATTCATGCAGCTTCATAGAAGCTTGAGTATGCCCTTACTTTTTCTTTTATCTCTTTGCTGAAATGACTAAACAAGAATTTTAGAATGAAGAGAGCTTGTATTATTTAGTATTTTATTGGAGTTCATTGTATTTGAATTCATTGCTGTTACTAGGTGATAATTGTCCTAACATTCAGATGTCCAAACAAAATTTCCACATCAGAAATAATAGAAGTGGTTTGATATTACAACACATATTTTTCTTCTGCTTTTTTCTCCTCCTCACCTAAACAACATGGGTTTAAGTCTTGTCAGGTGAAAGGATATTTATATATACCAAAGTCATACATAGATGTTATCACTGGATTAACATAAAAAAAGAAATGAAATATTTTCTTACTCTTGGTTGCTGCGTAGCTAAGCCATTTTAAGCCAGCTGAGAGCAATGAATACATACTCATTTGATCTGATCTTCACCATCATAAATAACGGCCACACCAAAGCTTCTTGCAATAAATACTGAATAATATGCCACATTAGTTTGGCAGATTATTAGGCCTAGATGTAAAACTGATGACTATGTAGGGCTAAACTCTAGCAAAGTGAGTTAATACTTTTGCTTTGTTAACTAGCTGCCATAAAAAAGTCAGTGTATATACACAAAAGTTAAAGTCATTGATTATTGAATAATTTAATGTACACTGTAATTAAATCAGGGTGAGGGCAGGAAGAGGGTGGGACCTTGATACATTTATCAAAGAAAGGATCACCAGAAGTGTTGATTGGTGATCAGCCATCATCTGGTTTAGGTAGAAAACCAGGGCAAGAGAGGATATGATTGTGAAGGAGTTAGGGCTAGCATCTGGATTTCTAGAAATCGAGTCCAGCAGCTTATTTTTAACACATTCTGGGTTTTGAGAAGCCACACTTCTTTGCCAGTGCCATTACTGAGGTAATAATGGCAAAACTGTTCCTTTTCCCCTATTTCTTTTCCTGAGTTTATGTGATATTTTGGCCATTAAGAATCTCACCCCACCCAGCCCTAACCTGTTTGGCTCAGTGGATAGAATGTCAGCCTGTGGACTTAAGGGCCCCAGGTTCTATTCTTGCTAAGAGCACATGCCCAGGTTTCGGGCTCCATCCGCCCTCCCCCAGCCCTCAGTAGGGGGCGAACAGGAGGCAGCCAATTAATGATTCTTCTCATCATTGATGTTTCTATCTCTTTCCCTTCCTCTCTGAAATCAATGAAAAAAATATATTTAAAAAATCTCACCCCACGCAGACAGTATGGCTCAGTGGTTGAGCATCAACCTTTGAACCAGAAGGTCAAGTTTGAATCCTAGTCAGGGCACACGTCCAGGTTTTGGGCTCAATCTCCAGTAGGGGGAGTACTGGAGGCAGCTAATCAATGATTCTCTCTCATCATTGATGTTTCTATCTTTCTCTCTCTCTGAAATCAATAAAAGTACATAAAAAAGAATCTCAACCCATCTTCCCTACTACTGGTAGTATGCTATTTGTTGCTACTCAAAATAAATTCCGTTCGTTATTGTACATTTATTGTATTTTAATATATCTGAAATAAATGGCATGGGTTTATTTTTCCGTACCTATTTGGATTAAGGCTTTGTGAGTCATACAAATAACATGCAGGTGACAGCATCCCTAATTAAGATATGATAGCCATCCATTTTGCTGGCACAGGGAACTCTGGGAATACTATGTCTTATCTTCCCCACGTTAAATTAGAGGTGTCTTGAGGACGGGATCCTTTCTTGCCCACCATTTCATATTCCCACAGAGTCTATGATAGATTTGGGCAGAATCTGTGCATTGATGTGGGGGGAGAAGCTTGTGTGTGGAGAGACAAGGAGAAGCAAACCCTTACACATGTACTTGAGGATACACAGGTAGACTTGGAGGCTGCTCTTAAATAATAAGTAAGAAATCTCTTGTTGGGGATACCAGACTTCTCCTAAAGGAGCAGGTGGGGAAAATCCTGAAGACAGTTCAGCTCCCTATTTACAAAGAATGATGACGAGACATGGTAGAGTAGTTCTCTAATGAGTAATCTAGATAATGGATAATGTAACTTTTTTAGGACAGAGGCATTTTAGAACTTCCCTTACATGTTATTACCTTGAAAAAAAAAATCATTTAATAGGACTTCTTTCTTGGTTGTGCTTTTAGACATTTTTCCTAATGCAGGCTTCCTGGCACAAAGTGCTTTCATTTTAGGGTCTTTATTAGTAGCAAGAAGTCAGATAGTGTCCTAATTAAAATGCCCGAAGAAGAAAGAGGAGGCCAGAATGGTTCTGATTTTATGTAGGACTTGTTCTTTATTCTCTAAAATAGGATTTTTCCCCCCTCCAGGATTAAAGCTAACACTAGAGAACACATTTGAAAGTATTCAAGGGCTTATTTATCTTTCGCTTCTATGACTGTTGTTATTGTGGGTTGCGAGTGAAACAGTTGCATTTGCTTTGCTTTTGGGTTTTGCAGTTACTTGCGGCCACACCTTTGTGAGTTTTTACTTTCTTAAAAATGTAGAAATATATTCTTTCACAGTGGCTGTCAGTAAATTAAAGTAATATTTCCTGTTTTTAAGCTTTTGTCCCCGTGTCTTGCCAAGGTCTCCCGAGAGCGGTGGAGCTAGGGGGTGAGGGAGGATGGATTAAATAGAATGCTGATGTTGGAAGGATTTTCTTTGTTGGTTTGATATTTTCTAGAAGCTGCTTATTTCCTCTTTGCTATAGAAATGAAAAATAAGAAGCTGAAAACTCCTAGCTCTGTTTACTATGAAGCTTGCTTAATGCCAAACAATGCCTAGCTTCCCATAGTATTTCAAGAGCCCCCTGACCCTACATAAAGGTATATTTATTCACTTACGGAATACAATGTATAATTCAATCAAACAGGGAGTAAACATTGCACAGGGCCATAGGAAATTAGAACTAAAGGGCCCTGGAAACCTCAGGTCCCCTCCAGATGTTAGCAGTGAGGGCACTGTATTCCCCATGGGTTGTGATTTAGCCATTGTCACCCACAGGGAGACCAACATGTCCCTGTTTGCCTGCAACTTTCTTGGTTTGAGCACTGAAAGTGCCCCACCCGGGGAAACCCCTTAGTCTAAGGCAAGTTGGCATCCTAATGTCAGGGCAGGATCCAGAAACCTCGCTTCTGGACTTCTGGTTCAGTGCTCTCTGGACATATTTCTATTTTTTTTCATTACATACTAGAGGGTTGGTGCATGAATTTGTGCACTGGTGGAGACCAGCCAGCCAACCCCAATCAGGTGATGGGGCCTGGATGGCAGGGGGGTGGGACCACGGGCAGTTGGCCGGCTGGCCCCACCCCTTGGTCAAACTCCAGGTTGAACTCCTGGTTTCACTCCCAGTCGAGGGGGAAATTTGCATATTAGCCTTTTATTAGATAGGATTATTGTCTTTCTTTTTTGTTTTTCATCCTGTGACTAACATTTTAAAATACTTTCTTTGGGACACCTTGTTATAGGTCAAATAAAAAGCAGATGTTGCTTTTAGGCACCCTAAAGGTCAGGAAGGAGGGCTTGGGACCAGTGTACAGGGAAGCCAAATTTGCAGTAGAGTTTTTACATTGCAAACATTCTCAGTCATGTACCCATGTACATATACACAAACAAGTGCAGTTTCCGGTTATCATTGAAGCATTTAGAAGGCACTGGTTGAGCCAATGTCTTAGCTGTGTGGGAAATATCATGGATTGGAGCTTGAATGGAATGTTCTGGAGAAGTTCCATTTTGGTCAGCAGGCATGCACTTCTCTGTTTGTTCAGCGTGTTTCATATGGTGTTTTGCTTCCTGCCTTTCCAGTCCCATCTGCACTCAGAGCGCGGCCTATCAGCACTGCCCCTGAGAGTAAATTAATGATTTACTGCTCTGCGCCGTGGAGCCTTCCAAAGGCTCGGGGAAATGCCGTCGGCAAAGCACAGTCATATTGTCCCATTCTGTGTACTAACGTTTGTTTCCTTTAGCAATTCCCCACTAAATCTAAACATTTAGGTTTTCCCAATTCTATCCCAATAAGCACTTCTACTGTTGACCATCAGGGCAGGTGCAGTTGTCAGTTTATTAATTATTTAGGGGACTGAACTTGATCATCTGCACCTATGCTGTAATTGAAACAAATGAATTTTAAGTAACGTTAGCGAGAATCCTTCTATTATATTAAATATCAATACTGTACCAAGTACAGTGAAAGCATAAATGACATGTAGTGGATTCTAGAAGCCAGGGGGGGGGAAATAAGTATAATTTGGGTTTTACCAACCAGGACTAAGTGATGCCATGTCATTTATATCTGAAGTGTTGCTCTTGCTTTGTTTATGCAACCTTATATTAAAACTAGA